GTTAAGGGACAGTGAACAGTTATAACTTTATAGTGTCATGTTCCACAGTTCATATTTTTCCCTGCAGTTCTTCAGTTTAATATCTTTTTTTTTCTTCTCTGTTTTTCTATCCAATATGTGCATAATATATTATAAGGCAGATGAACAAACAGTAACCAAATGTTAGACACTCATTGTGGGGACTAAATATTCTTATAAAAATGGTTTGGTTTCAGTATGGACTACTAGAAGCACTCACACTTTTATGACTACACAGGAGACTTTTTTTTCTCTTTTCATTACTAAACATTTTTAAAATTGCTTTTTGCAAATATAGGATGTAAAGTAATTTTAGAAGGTTTTCTAGACTGGAGGGTTTTTTTCAGTCTTATATAATGATAGCTTAAGAAAATAATTTCATTGACACAACTCTGTTTTCCATATGGAGCTTTTTTTGCTGACATTGAACTAAAGTAAATGGAAGAAAATTCTGGCCTGAAATAATTTGAGCTAACAATTACAGCTAAACACACACTGATGTTACCATCTTGCATGAGTTCCTTGTTGCTCAGGGAAGGTACTCCAAGTATGCTTGACTTTATGCTATACCAAATTTTATTGCAGTGAATGTTAGCCCATTTTGAACCAAGTTTCTAACCTTTGGATGTTTTAACATGCCCAAAGCGTACAAATATTTCACAGATGCAGCTGGATGTATGCCTTTTACATACAGTCTTAGAGAAAAAAAACTAGAATTACTTTTGAATGTTTTCAAAAGCAGCTGAAAAGTATTGGCATAGGTATAGGCATAGAAACTCACACTCTGGGACAAAGACAAATCAATGTAGGTAAAGACCAAAAAAATATACTTCTTTATAAAGGTTATCTCTGATAACAGAGTGAGTGCAGAAGTATTAGCTAATAATATACAGTTGTCAAGGTATTTTTTCCTATTATTCTCTTGTATTTCGAATAATACAGGATAATGCTGGAACATAGCTTGCCCACTCTAGACCATGCAGCTAGGATAGGTTAAGCACCACCTAATATAGTAATCTATATGGGCCTTTTCATTTATCAGATGTGTTGCACGAATACATCACATTTCATTTGAATTTCTTTTTCAAATTATTTCTTAAAACAGTAAGGAATTTACATATGGAAGTCCCTCACAGGTATAATTTATAAACCTATTAGATGACTTACCTTCTGAAAATAACCTCTTTACTTACTATTCCACCTGTTTCTTTGTTTTCTAAAAAATGCCAATTCATCTGCTGAGTTTCTTTCTCTTCTAGGATATATTTCTGCCTTGTTGACTAGCTTCTGCTCTAAGCAAAACTTAAAACAAAAACAACAGCAAGAAAAAAATCTCCTGACAGTTCTTAAAACACAAGCAAAATCCTTCTTTTGTTCAGCGTCTCTTTCGGGGTATCAAGATACACACAACATGGCACCTTCAATTTTGGGTAGATAGAGATATACAAAAGATGTGAGAAGGAACAGTAGGTTTATTTAAACCCTGTCGCTTCTAGGGAGACAGGTTCATAGAAATCAACATATCTTAAAGAACTTTAGCAGAAGATAATCAGTTCAGAAAGCTCATGTCATGAAATATGAAAGAGCAAGAAATGCAGAGGGTTGGTAGAGGAAGAGTGAGCATTTTCACTGCTAAGAGAAATCCTATTTTTGACCTTAGTCATTAACATCCCAATCAAAGAAACTATACAAATATTTATGACATAGCCTTAATAATGACTGTACAGAAATGACATCTCTTTAACTCTTCAGAACAAGTTACTTGTAATAAAACTATTAGTGTGTCTAGAGTTTTTTATTTAATACATGTGTGGATATTCTGAAAGCTGTTGGACTTATGCATATGGCAGGTATTACAGTGCATTGTGGTAATTCGCATAATTTTTGTCTGCCTTTCATCAGGGTGTCTGTCCTACGTGGTTATTTTCATGTTGATTAAACTGGGCCAGTACCAGAAACATTGTCATTGTTTTCAGTCAAATCTGTTTGATTCCAAACATTTAGAAGTGGATGTAATTCATGGCCCTAGAAATATTGCATGGGCTTCTCTTAGGCAGTCTGATCCACATTGTCATAGATTAGCAGTTGTTACAAAGGTATTTGAAGCGCACAAACATGTTGTACTCAACAAAAGATTCAAAAACTTCTCCTTCTCCCCACCCTATTGGTCAGAATGACAGCTAATATACACTAATGACACCTTCATGGTACTGTGAAATACCATGTCCTTTTGTTGTGATTAATGATGTTGCCCCCTCGTGTGATTCAGGAATTTGAGGCACCATTTTTCTTCTTGAAACTTACTCGGCTGTTGGTGGTCCTGTACTCTTTTCAGGATAGACACAACACTTTTCTGACAGTGAATCCACAATGTTGAAAAACATGCCTCAAATCTTGGAGGTAATTTACACCTAAACATCTCAGCTCCTGTCAGTAACTTTGCTTTGAAATAGATCAAATGGGATTTCCACTTAGGAAGCTTTCCCCACACATTTTCTGCTGAAACATTTGCTGAGTGAAAGAGAGAGTTAAGGGTCTGTAGTTCAAACTGTTGTCACAACACCCACTTAGAACGTGAGAGACAACACTGCCAAATAAAGAGGTGTCATGGTTTATTGTGCTTGATATCTGTAGCAACAGGGCAATAAAAACTCTTTGGAAGCATATTCTTTCAGAGGACGAGAAACACAGCACAATGCAGTGTGCTTTTCCCTGTATTGAGAGAGGCTGTCTCTTAAAGAAAAGCTGCTGTGAGCTCAATTCTCCCTTCCTGAGCTGCTGTAGGCTTTGCTGCCCTCTGATCCTCTAAGGAAAAGGCCTACTGCACGGCTTTTTTGCAGGAGACGAGGTACCAGGCTGCAAAAGACACAAGCATGTATTAGTCCCTTTTTCCTGGCCTCCCTTCCACTCCTTGCCACAGCACTGGCCAGTGTTTTCCCAAAGTGGATACCTGAATCTTTTATGTCTCTATTTGGGTGCATGTCATTCTGTAGTCCTTGGACTTGTTAATCCCACTTGCAAAATCACCACTTGCATTTTGCACATATAGGCAATGTAGTGTAAAGGAGTTTCCTGTGGCAGTTTCATCTCTTACTATTGTCAGGGAATTTATGGAATTTGCGTGCATAAAGGTTTTTCCAACACTATTAATTATTGCCTAAATTAATACGGTCAATAGAAGAGAAGGCAAGAGACAAAGAAATTATATGATTGTTTTATTTAAGGGGTTCAACTTTCAGCTGATGAGAGAAAAAAGAAATTATTTAACAAGGTGTGCATTTATGAAGGCTATTAAAAAACAGGGGGAAAAAGGTTCTTTCTAGACTTCATTATTCAAGAAATCTGGCCTTTGGTAAGTTCACTAATTTAAGGATATGACTATAAATGCTTTGATCCATCTTTTTCAACTTGTAGAAGCTTGCTCACTACTTGCTTTCAACAATCAGCTCCTGGGTGCTGTTAGCACCTTCACTATTGCAAGTCTTTTGTGTTAGCTTGCATATGCTTACATTTCATAAGAACTTTCAGCAGCCTTATACAAATTATGTAATACGTATACTACTAAATATGGTTAATGCAAATATGTGAAGCCTGTACCTCCTACCTGCAATTGCTTGTATGCTACCCAGATTGGATGCGGCTGTTTTTTTCAGATCATACTTTGCATATCTTACAGTTTCAAAGCTAGACAGGCATTTTCAAATGCCCTGTGCTTTTTCATGATTTTTCAATCCTCTGATCCTATCCTTCTCCCATCTTTGTCCATATCCATGTTGCAAATGAAGTATGATACTAGTGAATCAGAGTAAATGGAGACACAATAATTTTGTATACTTAAGCAAGAAGCTGTGTAAGAAGTATTAGGCAGTTATTTTATGTCTCATAGTGACTGAATCTCAGGGATCACCTGAAATGCTGGGAATAGCGTTTGGCATCACAGGCCATTCACTCTGCCACCTTCATGGAGGTCTGTGGACTGCTGTCTGCTAGTTCGTATTCTCAAGTCTGTATGGGTTTTTCTTGAGCTTCTTAGTGACTTCTTGTCCCTACTGCCTTGCCTTTGCTAGGAACCACTTTTTCTGGGAAGAAGAGAATAGATTAGGATCACTTTAGATTAACATGGCCTGAAAGAAGCAGAATTTAGAATAAACACATTTTATGTATGTTTTTCTGTCTTACAGAAAGAATCTGCCTAAAACGCGTTATGAAGTAGGAACATCCTAACACTCAGTAGAAAACCGTGCCTCTAGTTGGTATTGCACATTACAGTTCATACATCCACTTAGATTACATGTAAAGATATGTGGCAGCATATAATTAATCCATCCGTAACAATTTAAAGCTGCAAATATCTAATTGGCTGGTGATGTCTAGGCCAAATTTGTGATTACATCAGGATTTTCTGTTGAAATGTTGCTCAATTTCTTGTGAGTTATTGCATAAGGCGTGAAGGAAGGATTAAACACAGTACTTAGCATAAGCTGAACTGTGTTCTATTCTGTCACATACTTCCAGTGTGACTTCAGGCAACCTAATTAACCCCTCCATACCTCTTGTATAGTCTCTAAAATAGGCATAACCAGTCTGTGTATAGGGAGCACTGTAAGATTTAGTTCATTCCTGTTTGCTTGTAAAGCACTTTGAGATTCTTGGATGGAAAGTGCTCTATAAATGCAAGTAGAAGTGCAGTTTCAAAACCCTCTGCATGTTTTCCTAATTTACAAGTCTTTTTGTTGATCATGCCATGAAAAAAAATGGAGATTAACATATTTTCAGTGCAATGCAGAGAACACTTCCCCAAGTTCACAAGTGACCTCAAGCTCAGAACATCTAACATCATGTATTCAGACACCTTTTTTTTCTTTTTTCTTGCAATGAAAGAAGGAAATACCGTCCACGTACATGCGACTCATTCAAGCAAATGAAACCTGTTCTGATTTCTGAAGCTGTGTTCTAAATTTCACGCATTCAATTTTTTCCAGATCACCACAGACCTGAGGCAGCGTTGCACAGACAGCCACACTGGAACCTCAGCCTCTGCACCTATGGCTGCAGGCATCATTGCACTGGCACTGGAAGCAAAGTAAGATCTGAGTTACACTCTGAAAAAATAAATAATTAAGCATACAGAAAGAGCTTTCTCACTCATCCAGCACCTTTATCCAGGGATCTCAAAGTGCTTTGGAAACTTTGTTGTAGTAACTTACAGTACTCTTCCAAGGGCAGGGAAGAACTGCATGCTTATTTCACATGCAGGCAAGCTGACACCGTGGAATTGACAAGAGTACTCAGTGTGGAAATAACTTGAAACAGTGTTGAGCACAGGTATTTTCCACTAAATGATATGTGGCATCCTTGTAATGTCTTAAGCACCCTCACAGTGCTGCCCAGATCTGTTGTACTTTGCAAGCTACTGTAGGATGCCTCTTGCATTCATCAGGCTCCTCTTAGCAGTGGCCATTCTTGAACACTGAAGAAAATTTTGAGAGAAGGTTAGGCTACCATGAACAGAAATTAATACAGTATGAAACCCTAAAATTCTCAACTTCTGCATGCTGACACAAGTCTGTTTTTTCTAGTATGATAAATTACTCAGCTGTAAAAACCATGGATAGTGTAGCTTTGTAGTCCTTTTACCTTTAGCTCAGAAAAGTTAGTTTCCATCTTACAAGCGTTTTCTCAAATGCAGGATTTTGTTATTTGTGTCTAATACGTATCTTTAATGTACTTTATGGAGCAGCAGAAATTCTGGAGATTTATCAGGTAAATCTGTATTTCAAAACCTTTTGCATTACTTTGCACTGTGTTGGATAATATTTGCAGATCTAAGGTGGAATGCTCCATACCAAATCCTGCTTGAAATCAAGTTTCTAAGTGCTAGGAGGCCGATTCTATTAAAATCTGAAGAAAACCAGTTTCCTCTGGGGGCAGCCAGTTCCTTTGAAGGAATTTAAAAAATTGCACATTATAGTCATTTCAAGTTGTATGTAATTCATAGCAGCAGAATTACGTTTCCATCTTTAATGTTGCTTTTTTGAAGAACCATGGGCCAGTATTCAACACAGAATACTTATTTGCTGTGAGTCATGAGAATAAGAGTTAGTAATTGAAGAGCTGACATAATCTCAAGTAATGAAGCGCTGGTATCATTATAATTAGGTTTTCTTAATGCAGTCATTAGAAACAAAGGTATCTTGAGAAGTTAATATAATCCTATTGTATTAAAAAAATCTTTTTAATCTCTTCTTAATCTCCATTTTAAAACCCTTAAATTCACTCAAAACTAAAATTGTGTGTGCATAAATTTCACTCTGCTGGAAGGTTTTCTAATTATTTCTTAATGAATGGAGGTTGCCTGTAATTTATGCTTTGTATTTTATGTGATATTTTGTGTGCATTTTCTAACAAATGATTGTTGTAATTGAAAGTTTCAAAAAGTTATAGCACACAGTACTTAACAACCAAACTATGGCTGATTTTGACATCTTAAAACACACTGTGAAGCTTCTACTTCACGTAACATTTTATCTCTGTGAATCAATAAGAAATCCATGTTAGGCCCTATGGACTGGTATTGTTTTTCCAAATTGAGAATTGCTATGATAGGAACAAATAGAAGACTCCATTAAAGCTTCATATGTGGAGACAAATGAAGACAAAATATGACAGTGACGAAAGATTCTAGTCACTTTTTTGTATTTGTAGTACTCTGTTGCATGGTGCTAACAAGAGATTCAGGGTGAAAATGTATTGATTTTGCCTTCTTTCAGATTCTATTCAGTTTCAGTATATGGAGGATTCTTACTTATTTCGAGATCTTAGCCTGTGTATTTGAATAGATCCAAAGGAATTATAATATCATAAATGTGGTTTTATTAATTTGTATTCCATTCACTAACTTTTCCCTCCTATACAACCAGTTTTCTGAACAAGCTATGAAAGAAAAAAGAAAAAAAAAAAAAAAGAGGGGGAGAAAAAAAAAGGAAACTCAGGAGATTTCCAGGTTTCCCATGCTGTTTTTTTCCCATAAATTAATCCAGTCCTAGGGTTGGAGAAACCTTTGGTCATGTGAAGTTATAGATTGTGAAGTAAGGCCTTTAATATTACAAGAAGACCATATCATATTCCATTTTAATGCCTGGGATTTGTTTGTATGAAATCTATTCAGATTATTTTAGCCGGTTTCTTAATGGAAATTCTTGTTTATTTATCTGATTTGAAAATTCAGCTTGTATGTTTTACCAGCCATACCTGCAATTTAGGTGTTCCTAAATAAATGCTAGGAATTAAAGTATGCAAAAAGAAATTTTGAAGCCATCTTAAGTATTTTCTCCAATACTTACAAATATATGGCATGTAAAGGACACATGATATTGTGGCTTAGCGTAAGGGCTTACTGGTACTAGTTTGCATTCAGAGTTTGCATTTACATAGATTGTTCCTTAGATTCCACATTAGTGCCTGTGCTAATAGCACTATTATATGAGATTTTTTTAGAAAGACTAGTTGGAAAGGGATTTTGCAAGGTTAATTATGCTCTTCATACAACAAGCTGCTTAAATATTGGAGCACTTTGTCCTGAACACTTCTTGAATATGTCTGCAATAATGAATAGTTTCATTCCACTTTGTTCTAGAAAACACAACAAATTACACCATGGAAGGGTTTTGAGCTTAAGAGGTCAGTTTTTCCCAGTAGCCAAGTTCTGTTCCTGGGAGACATCAGGAGGTGAACAGAGCACTAGTCTGGACTGGATATGAGTTAGGACAGCCAAGAGATTGCTTCAGCTCACATGCAAAGATATATTAAACTCATGGAAAATAAGCAAGGCAGATTTCCACTCTAATCTGCCACTTTCATTTCTTTGATAAGCCACATATGGTAAGCTTAGCAAATAGCTGATGGAGGACCTCTTACCTGCCTACTGATTTGAACCCTCCACTCAGTTGTTTTTCCAACTGGGATCTGCTCCTGAAATCCTGACAACTCTTTGTTTTGGGATGGTGGTTTGCTTACATCCCCAATTTCAAATAACGTGAACACATCTTTTTTTTGTTTTCAGTCCACTATTTGAGTATCAAGTGGCATGTTTTCCTTCAGGAAACAAAGAAGTGTGATTGAGTTTCAGCCTGCTTGTTTGGAATCCCTGAGGGCATGATGCAGAAATGTAGATACGCAGCAAGTGTCACACAAAGAAAGACTACTCTTAATCTTCATATTCTGTGGTTTTCTTATGGTATTCAAGTAGTTAATTGTTTTATCTGATGGTTACCAGTGTATCTAGTATTTTCTTCAGGCTCTAAGAATAAATGCTTGCTTGTGTATTGCACTTCTTAGTCATTACATAATGTTGAATTATGCCAATTGTAAATCAGCAATTATGGATATAAAGTATAATCGAATCAGTCAGCAGAGACAGCAATGTTCTTACTAAAAATAAATTATTTGCATTGCATAGTACCATCTGCTGTTGGTATCAGAAATACCCTTTCTCGCTGATGAAAGGTTTGAATTTGGCATTTGAGTGAATCACAGTCAGGAAAGAGAGTATGCCCACATTTGTTCCAGTGGGAATTGTGCCACATTCCTTTGGAGAAGCCAAATGAAAAAAAAAAAATTCTTATGTTGCTGACAGAAGAATACATTATACATCCCCAAGTGAACTGCATGCTCTACCATCTACAAGCCAATGCATATTTTCCAAGCCGTGGTATATAAACTGCAGTTAGTGAGTAAGAGGTAGCACCTGAAATGGAAGTATTAATCTGCTGTGTTTCTACTGTGTGGTATACTCAGTGGTATACCTTTGGAGAGAGTCTGTTTTCTTCCATGGTTCTCTTCACATAAGCTATACTTCATTTGTCTCTGGTTGCATGAAACCAAGGCTAGAAAAAGGTAGTGCTGGGAAGAGATAAAGAATTTCAGTAACTTCTGATGCCAACGATCCATTCAGAAAAGTGACAATGCATAACATTCTTCTAAAAGGCAAGTGTAATCACTGAGATGAAAGGAAAATGGAATTCATGTTGCAAGGAGCCAAGAGTGTCAGAGGAAGATAGTTTGGGTTTCTGAAAACCGATCAGATACTTACAATACTTCCCATATTGATTGATTTTCTTACAGAAAGGAGAAAATAAGTGTTCTCTCTGGCAAGAGGCAGTTTTGGATATAGATGACTTATTTCTGTGTCATCAAAGTTATGAGGGGTTTGCTTGTTCATAAATACAGTCAGAGGCTAAAGGTGATGAGACAGTTGAGGCGAACCATGGAAATGCTGTCAAGTGACCTCTATATGTAGGCTTTCAGCGTAAGAGAAGCAGAGGTTATCATTTAAGCCCACTACTTTTAGCTAGGTTTTTGCTGCATTGATTGACTGCCTGTTGTAAAAGGGAATGCTAGAGTGTGTGAGTTAGAAATCTTTTTGTGAATCTTTGCATTTTTGAAGTAGTTTTAAAATAATGCTTTTAATGGTGAAGTATTTGGAAAACATAAACATAAATAAGTGCTCAATTTAGTATCTATGTTTCTCTTGAGCTTTAACTATCTGCACCATTTATGCAGTTTCAGTTCTTACATTGAGATTGACTTGGAAGTACTTTCCTGAATTCAGGTTGCCCAATGTTTCCCATTTTAAGGCCCTGTTTTCAGTTACATGTAGCTTTGCCAAAGAGTAATTGTTCGGTCTGAAATTTTCCATGTAACTTGCTTTAAAAAGGTTTTAAGAAAATTCCATCCAGGCATTTCTTAAACTGAGTGTAGGTTAAAAAAAATGTTTGACTATGATCATTTTTAACTTTTTCATTGAGTTTTACTGTGTCTGCGCTTTGGAGCAACAGCTAGAAATAGAACAAGTGGATAGTCATTGTTCTGGTGCCAGGGCAATGCCTTTTATAAGCTTTTCAAAAATCTCGGTTGGCATGTGCTCAGTTGAGCGTTTTAAGAGTTTGGCAGCTCTATCCCCTGTAGTTTCTTGGTTCTCCAACTGCTCCCCAGGCTCAGCTTTTAGAGGCTGCTTAGAGTTGTCTCTGAAGTTGCTCTTAGGGGTGCTGCTGGCTGTCCACCTTGAGAGCAGGGAGCCTTCTTGCTTTTCCCTGTCTGTGTTCTTGCAGTGAGAAGAAAATGAGGAAGGTGGAACAGGAGCAAGCTTGCTGGACTGCAGTCTCCCTGCAGTCTTTCTTTTGAGATTCCTTGCACCACAGTGTCATAGCTCAACTATATTAGAAGTTATCAGTATCATTGGACTTGGCAGATAGGTCAAATCAATAGCCTGGGTACCATGCTAATCATAACTGTCTGCATTAACCTGAGATAACCCCACATGCACAGTCACAGCTGGTTCTAAAATTGGCAACTGACCTAATTTTGTTGCTGTTGCTTCCACACTGTTATCCCTCAACAGACTGTACTTATGTCTTTTGGGCAGTCCCGTTTCATTCTTCCTTTGGGGAAGGCAAAATAAGGGATGTGATTCAGGTACCTCTCTTGCAAGGGATTTCTCCTCAGAAAGTCATCACCATCAACCTGCAGTTGGGCCATTGATCATTTTCTTTTTGGTGCTGAGGATTTTCTATCTCTGGGAAAAAAATTATATTCTGTAGGCTCTGGAATCTGCCACCACTGTGTGCACTGCAGATTTGGCAGAGATACAGCAGAACACCACTGCTGGTGAATGTATGGCTGCTTATCCTCCTGTCATGTTATATCACTACTTGTCTGTATTCTACCCTAAAAAACAATATGAAGATAATCCAAAAGATGGTTGTAGGCAATGCAAAAGCCTTCAAACACTGACTTACAAAGAGACTAGGAAGTATTGCAGATACTATGGAGATGCTGCATGAATATGCAGCAACTGAATGACATAAGGTAGAGGCAGACATAAACTGATAAAGATGATGTTGTACAGGCAAATGCTATTAGCTTGAAAAGATGTTCAAAAAGCTGTAGCTTTGAATGGAAAATTCTGATATTGTGGAATTTGTGAGCTTGAGATGTTTAAGATTAACGTGTTTAAAATGTGAGTGAAATACTGAAGTTACTTAGTAACTGTTAAAATGTACAGATCCAGTGTGTCCAGTGAAACAGCAAATATCAGGACACTTCAGCTAATATTCCTGTCCACGAGGCTATATATTGAAGTCTTAGGACAGGTAGTAGAGTTGTAGATCTCAGGGAACAATTTGGCTGATTTGTAAGTGATGGGAATGTGTAAATGATGGGAATGTGTAAATAAACCAGGCAACTATTTCTTATGTTTTGTTTATAAATTTATCATAAAGCCCTTAAGGGTGGTGTTATGCAGAAATTAGTGAGGAAAATTATCTCCTACTGCTTTACAAGATGTCTAGGGCACAAGAGACTTTTTATAGCAATAATTATCCATGTCTGTTCTCTTGTAGCCAAGATTTCCAAAGAAGGTTATTTGATACTTCCAAATTGAATGGTGATCCTCTTCTTAATCCATCCTGTGATACTGTGTTTTTCCTTGATTCTTTGGAGAAAACTTTAGTGTATTCTTCCAGCAATTCTCATTAGACTCTGCTGTTTTGGCAAGAAATGTTTTTTCAGATAGGCCACCTTTGTCACATTCAAATTGCTGGCTATGAAGATAATGTAGCCATCATTATTCATGTTGCTAACCATATAATTTTGCTAAAAAAAAAAAAAAAGCAAACCAGAGTTTCACTCTTATTTGTTTATTGCATTAAGTGATATTTTTGCTAATTGTCTCTCTTGCAGCAATTATTTATTCTGAACAATATCATTATCCGAATGGAGAGAGCCTGAGTTCTTTACTATTTCCAGGATTAGACCACTTGTCACTAGGGAGACTACTTGTGGAATGTAGAAATCAGATTTGGCCAAAAATTATGATCTACTACTTCTAAGCAGCTTGCTTGAAAACACAGTTTAATGTCAAATGAATGTTACTGTAATATAATTTAATTTATTTGTCCTATTTCATTTTTTCTCATTTACCTTGTTTCATAAACATTTTGAAAAGCCTGAAAGAAGAGGGATATACCTTAAAGTATAACTATTGGTTAAGGACACAACATTCACTATTTTTTGGCTGCTGTACAAACACTTTTGTATGTAATTGTTCTCACTTCTGCTCATTCTGGTTTGATTTTGAGTATTGTCTGGTATGTGTAATCCCAAGGCAATTTCAGATGAGACATTGAAAAAAAAAATTCTGGAAGGAAATTGCCCATTTTTTGAAATCAATCCGTTATCAAACAGAGTTAGTACTGTCCTCATTAATGCATTTGTTCATTTCAAGATGTTTAGCCATTAATTCTTCTGAGATTAATCAAGTGGTAAATCAATTAATGTCAGTGACATCTTGACTGGATCTGGGGCCCACATGGCTAGCAAACAACTGTTTACTCACTTAGGATCCAATTTTGACATGTTTTACAAATATTTGACCAATTCTGTGATTTTTCCAGATGCTTTAAAATTGGCTGCTGGACTATCTTGTTTAAAAAACAAAACAAAATTAAAAAATCCCTCTTCTTTCTCCAAATGAACTGCTATTTTGACATAATTCCAGTTTTTTGTGGGTTTTTTGTTTTGGTTTTTTTTTTTTGCTGAAGTTACTGAAAAAAATTGTGGGCAAACAATTGTAAGCCTATTTTGTTTCAAAGGAGTTGTCTACTGTAGACAGAAAACTTCAACTGGCAATAGCTCAATTCTTAGTATAGTGAGGGTCTTATAGTAGGTTACAGAAATTGGTTTGAATATTGTTCTAATGCTATTAAATCTCTTAGATATAAATATGCCCAAACTGCCATTCCTTGAGAAGAAAACATAAAAATCTCATGAATTATACAGTAAACTAGTAAATTGGAGGTTGCATAAGAGACAGACTGATTTAACTACGTACCATGTGGTGCCCTGGAAATCAGACCTTTGATCAAAGTTTTCTGCCCGAGAAGTTCTTACATTACTTTTTATGATTAGACAAGGATGGAAGATACAACAGTGGATAGCTCAGTTTTTAAGATCTGCCATGATTTTTGTTTATGAAAGTTATGGAGTTATATGGTGAGTGAATGTCCTGTATGTCCCAAGTGTTTCTCTCCTGTATGGAATTATGGACCATGGTTCTGAAATTTGTTTTCATTTTCAGTAATTCCACCAACACAGGTGATTTCCATTGGTTAATACCCTTGAATATATGTCTGCATGCACACAGAGGATAGACTAGGATCAAGTTTTTCTGTAAACAAGTTTACTGTGGGTTTGCAATAACTTCTGTGTCCCTACTGCCTTCTCCTAAAGCTGCAGCTTGTGGAAGCTGAAATTTGTCACCTGAAAATCTAAATTGATGCATCTTGAATGAAAAAGAAATCATTTGGTTTTTAATAGCTTATCACTGATTGCTTCCTAATAGCTTGATTTCAGCTCACAGGATAAGCAGGATTCTACTTCCGTATTTAAGCACTGTAAAGCACTGACTATTCAAGCATTCCTAAAAGATATTCTTTTGACAAAACAAGTACTGGTAGATGTGAAACAATATGTGCGGGTTGCAAATCCACATAACATTAATTCATGCACATCAGAGAGATGAGTGAGATTTTTCTGTATCTTCCCCTGTCAGGGAGACTTAGAGGAGAATGAGATATTTCTGCATGTTTACCTTGTGTCTGCTTCCCAAAGAAATTTTTCATCGAAATTTTTAGTAACTTGACTATGTATCTATTTAAGAGTGTAGAGTCACTCCATGTGATGTGAATGCCCCACTCACCCCAGAAAGTGACTCACTCACAGTCACCCACAGGTTGACCTTCCACACACTCTTATGGCTGTTGCTTAGTGTAGTTTCTACCTGCAAGGGGAAGCAGAGCCCAAGAATAAGTCACTTTTCTTCTGGACCAAGTGGCTTCTTGGTCTGAGAGACACAAGAGCATGAGTTAAGGAACTGAACAAAGGTTTCCCAGGTTTTCAATGACTGCCTAGTCCTGGACAGTGTAGACATTCACTGCTAGGTCTGGTAAACTTAATTCTTACCTGTCTTCATCATGACACCTGAATGGAGTTGTGCCGGTGTGTGTGGTAGAGGCAGATAATGATGCTCTGAGAATGATACTGAGTGACTGGTGTTCTGCACCGCAATACTTTTTTCCTCTCCATTATTTAATGGCTCAGTTGAACATTCCCTCTACTAAACTGCAGTTTTGTATAGAATGATAGAAAAACTGAGAAATTGAAAGCAGAAAGAAAAAATTCCCTGATGATGGCCATACACGTTTAGATAATCTTCTAAGAAAAGAAATTAACTTGGGGTGGATCTAAGAGAAAGAAGAAAACTATAATCCCTAAAGATTTGCTGTAGTCCTACAAGATAAATGGATATTAATGTCATAGTTAGGATGCAAATGGCGTCTTCTTTCACATTAACAGTGGATAGGTTCTTAGGAGTCCCTTAAAGCAATACATATCTGTGCAATCAGGCACTTGATCTGCAAGTATTCAGATTCAGTGCTGGCTGCTTGGTCTTCTTGAAGAATACACATAGACCCTCAGTGAATTCCAAGGCCGGAGGTTATATACAAATAACAACAGAAACAACCTGAAATAGCTTCCATAGGAGCTGAAAGTCTGAAGGAATTGCCAGCTTGAGCACACAGTTTGTAAGATTTAGTAGAGCTTTTCAGGAAGCAAATATTTTCCTTTTTTTTTTCCTTTGCACTGGTGAAGGTGGATAACATACTGTAGTTGGTGGTCATATAAATTGCCTCTGTATGACATGTACTCCTTCATCTTCCCTTAAGTTTTATATAATAGAATATTACCATATATCATTATAGTCTGCTTAATGCAAACCTCCCAGCTGTATAAATAATTTCATGTAATAATTCTGTAAAATTAGGACACGTTCTTTTGAATGGAGCAAAGCAAAACAGAGAAGAGGAATTAGGGCCGGTTTGTTTTGGATGCTTTTTAGCTTACGTGACCTTGTATCCCTAAATTCTAGTCAATTGTGTCTGATCTGTGACTTCGTTTTCCCCTTATTCATAGTCCCTTTCTGACCTGGAGAGACATACAGCATATTATTGTCCGGACTTCACGTGCAGGACATCTGAATGCTAACGACTGGAAAACCAATGCAGCTGGTTATAAAGGTGAGAGCTTCCTTTCTTCTTTGCTATTAGAGGAAACATCTTATTTGATATTTTTGAAGAAGAAATAATCTCAAAGGTTTGTTTGACCCTAGTTTTTGTAGTAATTTCTAGATTCAGACCATGTTCTCATTCAGAATTTTTGACAATTTTGATTAAAAATGACAAAACAGTATTTTCAAAATTCTGTTTTATATGATTTATTCCATTTATATTTAAGATTTCTGTCAGATTTAGAATAAAATCAAATCTTGAGCTGTGAGGACTTTTAATGGGACAGAAATCATACTATGCAGTCAGCTGTCATGTAGGTTTCTAAAATTTCATATATTCTTGTAATTTATATTAAAGCTACATCTTTTTTAACATTTTTCTCTTTTGCAATGCAAGCAGAGATAAACATTTGTGCCATTAAATAAGGTATATATTTTCAGCATGGGTGAAAAATGGACCTTGAATCCATACCATGTTGTATATCAACACAAATTGGCTTCTGATTACCCTTCACTACATTCTTACTGCTTTCAGTTTGGATTGCATCTGAAGAAAACCCGAGAATAGCTTGTTTCTGGTTCTCTTTTCATAAGAATTCCACCCAAGACTGCAATATGTCTTTTAAGATGAGATTTGAACGGGTTTGTGCTAGGATCTCCTAAGAAAAGAATGCAATATATAAGAATCATCAAATCTTTACCCTGGTTTCACATTAAAACTGAAGCCTAGCTGTAATCTATTTCAGATCAAGGCACTGCTACCATAAAGCATCTTTAATATGCCATTCTGACCTATGACATTTCTGCTGCAATGGAATAGAAACAAAACCAAAAGAAACCTTGTATTTTGGGATCCCAACCAGACTCTAACTACAGAGGATAGATTTAGAACTGGGTATTTGACTTGAGCCCCCTCATCACATGAAGGTTCTGACATTAAAGAGCCCAGTTTGGTCGCATTTACATGCCCACACACAAAACACATACATAGTGAGAAATGGATACTTCCTTAATTGCAATAACATTATAGTATTTGTTACTGTGAAACATTTCCCAGGATTTAAAAAGTTTTGGCAGGAGATTGTGACTGTATTATCATTTTGTTTGAGCTATCTGTAGTTCAAACAATGCTTTTCAAGTAGCATAAAGTAGAGCATTTTTTTTTCCGTAACTCACTTCCATAATTCTATATTTTTATGTTTTTCCATTTGTTGTCCAAGAGAAGCAAACACCCTGTGAGGCATTTCACAGCAGCTGTCACTCATTATCAAAGGAGAGGTTACACTAACACACCAGCAGCAGCAGCACTGGCAGCAAGACTTGCACTGTTGTACCACTGAAGCCTGCCTATTCTGAATCCTTGGAGCCACACATTTTTCTATGCATTATAGCAGATAAATAGTGAGAATAAGGGCTGAATAAGGGTTTCTCTTCCACTTGTGCAAAGTCACAAACACAGATAAACTCAACTAGGGGGCTGGGATTCAGGAAATACAACTTGAGCTGGCAGAGCTCTGCTGTAGACTGTATGGTAGAATTGAAAAAGACGAAGACAAACTAAGTGCCTTGACCTCTGTGGAGCTCAGGAATCAACCTTAACCCAAATAAAAGCACTAGTTTTAACTAAATTATTTTGGCAACTTAGGCTGAGCAAATGGTTCCAATAAAAATTCAGCTTTCTTTAAACCTCTGTTGGTTTTGGAAGAAGGAGAAGCAAAAGATTTAGATTAAATAACTACATCCAAACCTGAATTCAAAAGAAGGTTTGCACACCGCTTCTGGCAAGACTGAAACAGGTTTTTTACTATTGCACGTGGCAATGTTTAGTATAATATTACACTTATTATCCTTCACTGTTGCCAAGAGTAACAATTAAAGTATGATTTTTCATAGATGAATGACTCTGATCAGACTGATTTTCCTGAGGAGTTGTATCATAATTTTGTTGATGGCAAGATCCACATTTCTTCCACAGCATGTTCTTAACAAGGCAAGGAGTGGAAGATTTTTATTTTAATAAATTAACTAAAGCAAAGATAGTCACAAGAAACAATCTGCCTTTCTTTCATGCATGGTAGAGAAGAAGGAAGAAAATGAGGTGAAAGAGAGAGACAGGCTTGCTCCTTTAGAAATTAGAACTGAAAGGGTGAAAACAACAAAAACTTGGAAGAACCTCTCACTCAACAAAGGGTCAGCAAGAGCTGGTAGTTGAAAGTAGGTCAGCATACGTTTTCAGGGGGCTGTTTTGCTGGGCTGCATGGCAACCCTGCCTGCACTATACTGACTGGCAGTGTTTTACCGTTGCAGAACACACAGAAGGAGCTCACAGATGTCATTATTGGTTGCAAGATCTCCTCTTTTTTTCTGTCTTACATTCATAAAAAGAAAGATTAATTCATGAAAAACGGTTGAGCCAGCTAGTGATTTGCTGAAGCAGTGCCCATTATTTGTTTAATTTTCTGGCAAGTAAAGAGCATTCGTTAAATGCATGAGAATTAACTCAGGAATGGACAAGATTTTTGCTTCGTAAAATTTTTATGGTTGTTTTGTTGTCATCCATCATGTTTCCTCAGGGACTTATTACCTGATAGTCTCAAACAGAAAGGCTTGCATACTCATTTTGGGATATTCTCTGGTTAGTCAGTTGAACATATAATTTGTCACTAGATAAAGAGATACGTTATGCTCAATTTTGCTTCAATATCAGAGGGGTTTTTTTATAATTAAAGCAGTTAATTAAATGAATATATGGAAAAATACTAGAGAACATCTGGTGTTGTGACGGTATCAAAAATGTTGATCTGCTTTTGCTATGGCAGTTTGATATGCAAAGGCTCCTTGTTCTGTCAGTTGTTTGGTCAACGAAAGAGCATGCAACTGCATTTGTAAAAAGGGAATGCTGCATTAATGCAGATTTGTCTCTAGGTTGAAAGATAGAGTATGAAACACTGCAGTTTTAAGAACTGTGATCAAATCATATGAAGAATTATTTATCTGTAAGTGAGGCTCCAAATGTCTGTGGGGAAACAGCATTCTCAGGGAAGGAATATTGTTAATTTTCAGGGAGATTTTTAGAGAATATCCTTCACTCTTCCTGGCTTTAAAGTGTAGACAATAACACTTCAGTATAGTGAAATAAAATACTACTGAAAGATAAAAGGGTATCAAAACTCTAGCCACCTTTTTGCATTTTCAGGCCATTCCTAGGCCCAGTGAGGTAATCTTCGTACAGAAACAGAAAGTCATCTCATTTGCCAGGGAGTAACAGACTACCGAAGTTATGTTGCATCCCTTTAGATTGGCCAAAGTATCTTCTGCTTCCACTGGAGATAATTGGTCACTTAAAGTTTTATGACCTTTTAATATAATTGCTTAATTACAGCATTTAATAAAAGTAGTTATTATTCTTGTTGTGAGCAGAGCATTACCAGTCCGGGATTGAGAAAGAGATGAGCATATCTGTGCTCCTAGACAAGAGACCTGGATTGGCCAGATTTAAATTACTGCAGGATGACCAGTAACCAGGCACAAATTCAGAGACCAGCAAGAAAACATGTACATTTCAGAGAAGACAAATAAACTATTCATAAACACTCTGCTGCATATTTTCAGTAATTTTATATTTTTAAATCATTGCTAGAAGCTGGCATAAGACTTCTAAAAAATAGCAAGCACTTGTGAATGGTTATGTCAACCAATCAAAGCTGTTCATCTATCAAAAGACCTCCCAATCTTACAGATGCTAGCTGACACTTTCGCCTGCTGTTAGCAGCCAATATCAATTCCTTCCCACCCCTAATGCACATACAGATGGTGCATGGAGCAAGTGAAACATAAGCTTTGAGTTTGACTGTTGTAATATCCCACTTCTGGGTAGCTGGCAATCTGACACGAACACATGAAGGTGCATTAGTCTTTGCGGAAATGAGGAAGACCATATCCTATGCATGCTAGACTAATGATTTTTTGTGCTTGAAAGATTAAGCTGATATTTTCAGGTAGAAAACTTAGAATGCTGTTGGCAAGTTTCTTGTTCAACTTGTTGACAAACATGGACAATTGCAAGCTATCTCACATGTGACTTGTTTCTCTCACACTCCCAGGGCTGTGTTGGCTCGAGGCAGCGTTTCCTTACCAGAAATACCCCTAGTGCCATGTCCTCTGGCCACCAGCTCTTCTTGGCAGGCCCATGGCTTCATTGCAAATCCATGACACAGACCACCCAGGGAATCCCCTTAAGCCAGATTTTGTGTTCAAATTAATTACTCCTTGAAAAAATTACTCCAGCTCGATAGTGTTGCTCTCTAAACCACTGGTGTAATGATAACATCGTCAGAAGACTCTCTCATCTGCAGTCCTATTTACCAGACATTAAGCTATGCAATTTTAATGTTGTGGGAATCACATTTATATTGGGAGAATTACATTTATCAAGAAACAAGCATATAACATACCATTTCCAAATGTGAACTACATGAACCAGAACCAGAACTAAGTAAGGCTTTTCATGTAGGCAGCAATGAAGTTGCAGTAAGAAGTCCAAGGACAATGAAAAGAGACTTCAGGGCCTTGGGACAACTGGTTAAGGGATCAGGACCACAAGTAATGTTCTCCTCTATCCTTCCAGTTGCAGGGAATGATGAGGGAAGAAACAGGAAGACTCAGCAGATCAGTAACTGGCTCCAAGACTGATGTCACCAGCAGATTTTGGGGTTTTTTGATCATGGGTCAGTCTAAATGACACCAGGCCTGCTGGTGACAGGCATGGTACACCTGTCTCAAAGGAGGAAAAGGATCTTTGCACAGGAGGTAGCAGGACTCATTGAAGGAGCTTTAAACTAGATTTGAAGGGGAAAAGGGATAAAACCAGCCTCACTAGACATAAGCCTGGGGGTGGCATGCCAATGTTTGAGGGACAGTGTGCTAGTGAGCACCTGTGGTTCTGCTCCGCTATATGCTGAGTACTCTAGAGCATGTTTGAAATGGCCCTGTACAAATGCACGCAGCACT